CTCACTTTTATCTTGACCTCTGGACACTGTCCTCCATGTCAATCCTCTTGGAAACCTAGTTTCGCTGACTAAACGTCAAGTCAAAATACGTTATGGCCTGCGACGTCTCATGGTTTATTTCTGAGTAGAGCGATGAGAGAACAAAGGCTTGACGGAAAGGTGCAGGGAGAAGGTTTCCAGTCGAAACGGACAGTTTGCTGAGCAAAGGTTTGACATTTCCTTCATGCTGATCAGCTTCCAGGACATGCGTTCTCCAATGAAATAACGAATATGCCCATGCGTCATTGATTCCCAGAGACATCGGAGTGAGTAGCTTTTGGGGTTTAACCAGGAGACTCAACAAAGTCAGGCTGTCATCCTTGATGGGCCTTGATTAAAGCGCCATGGAGGTTGCATCCGTCAGATGTAGCGTAACTGTCAGTACGGTAATTGAATCTAATGAGAGGCTTCTCTGCCTGATTATTTCTGTAAGTAGAAAAGCAAACATCTGAAGTTTGCTTTTGGACACCACAGTGGAATACACTCATAGGCCATGAGAGAACAAGGAAACATGGCTAATAAGACTGCATTTGGCACGTGTGTCCACAGCGAGAGTGTTTTAAAAGGGTTGTTGGTTTATCAGTTCAAGAGTTGTTTAAAAATTCTCCCCATCCTTCGAATTAGACTGAAAATGCGTTTCTCTGAAAGTTTCCACATTCAAGGATGAGGCAATCTGCTTAACGTCACTAGCCATTAATACGGAGAAGACAACACAATAGGCTTTTCAAGGACGTGAGGAATGCTCTACGCCCATGCTTCTCTGAGCTCTCAAGGCTGTTTATTGGGCCCAGGATAAAGGACCCTGCAGAGTGTGTTTACAAAATTGAGTCAGTAATCAGATGGGCACAGATGTAGTTTTGCAGATAATCAGTCTAAATGAATCTTCATGATCTAAGCCTTTTTTCCAACTCAGTCTTCTGAACAAAGCATCCCTGAACCACTGAAATTACTGGTGAAGTGTGTCATTTCTGCATCACCAAGCTGATTTGCCATTGGTTGAGGAAAAATATCGTCCAGCCTCGAATTATATTAACTATATTTATAATTATTTTTTTTTGGCTTAATTTTAATTTAATTAATTAATTTTTGTTTTTTGACACACTTCCCTTTTGAACCTTGTCTGTCAGACTAGTAAGACCCAAGTTTTTACTGTTGCTATATTACATTTGACATTGAACAGTATTTCCGTAGTAACAAGATCAGAGAGGTTTGCAAGCAGAGCCATTTCTACAATATGTAATTTTTAAACTACAACAACTGGAATTCAAACTGTTTCAAATAAGAGCCACAGTTCCCATCTCACACAGTGGCCTTGTGACCCTTGTTGTCCCTGTGGTCTAACAAAATCTGAATTTTCATAAGCAATGCTTTTTTGGACTTAGACACTCGAGAAGGAAGATTCAGAGCCAGATTCAAACTTGTGTGTCCTTCATGAGCACCATGGCCATTGTTGAAATTACCTTCATGTCGTTAACATTCCTGTATCAATACTTGATTCTGATCAACCAGATATTTTTGTATCCATCCCAGGCTGCTGATTGCTGTGCCTAGTCTCTCATATCACTGCTGTTTCTTTCTTCTCACACAGTAAAACAACTTCAGCAGCTCCTCCTCCTCAAGCTGGAGTCCGTACCACATGCCAGCATTTATTTTGTGATATGACGGGCTGACTGTACATCATCTACTTAAATGACAGCGTGTCTCAGGATTATATTTCATGATGTGAAAAATTAAAAGGGCCAATTTTTATAAGCACAATATTCTTGAGAGCATTGTCTTACTGAGCCAGTCCACTGTATATTTACTCAGATTGGCTACTGATTCAGGATACCGAATCGAGAGAGACATTAAACTTGACTAATCAGGGGTTTGCGCCAAGACATAAAGCTTGAGTCCAGAGGAGCTGTTAAAAGCCAGAATGCTTGATCTTAATATTCATCAAGACTGTTTAAGATGCAGTACAATCACACGTTCACACAGTGGGTTGTTTACACACATCTCTGATTAAAACCCATAAATAAAAGGTACACGGCTAGAATAGCTCGTTCGTTGGTGACTTCTAATTCAGATATTAAACTCTGAGTGCTGTAATATTATGGGAAATATGATTTTAATTGAATCCATTATGAAGCCGTAAACGGTCGAGCATTTTTGGCAAAATTCAAGCATATCTGGTGCATTTCAAAAAGTGTTTGTTTTCATTATATCCCTTTTCTTTGGGATTGGGATTGAGAACTTCCTTTTCCCCCTCTCCTTTTCCTTTTTTGTGGAGGTTCCTGTCCTTCCGCATTACCCATGTTTTTGGAAAAGCCGAGGTTGACTGGGAGCCTTAGCTCATGTGTTAAAGCGGTAATTTTCAGTGACATTGCTCAGAGCAAGTAGGGATGTGTCATTGTCCACCCTTCACTGGTTACACAATACGGAATCTGTTGTGCTGAAATGAAGGTGATTCACTCCGTCGGGGTTTTAGGCAAGAGCTAATGGGCCCCGCTGACCAGTCGAGCCAGGGAACGAGGGATACGCCACAGGGAAATATGTCCCCAATGGCCTAAATTCATTTTGATGACCGTCACTGATTACAGCCTATTTATTTCAGCCATGTATTACATGCTTAATTTGGTTTACGATCGCTGGATTGTCTGAGGTTTAACACGCTAGATGAAGTGTGTCCTAGAAAGCGGAAGTGTGAGAACTTAATATCTTTGATGGGCTGTTCTTTTTACTGCATCTACCAGACTTCTACTGCACTTACGAATGGCCTTACACTTTAATCTGTGCAAATTCTCCAATAAGCAACAACTAATCACCTGATTTATAATCAGACTTATGCTCATACGTTTAACAGTTTCGTATAATCTCTTGTGGTTTTCACATGATGCTGATTGTTCATTGATGCATATTTCAGCTAAACCATTAAAAAAACATTTAGATTAGAAACATTAATTTATATGGAAGAGCATTAATATCCAGCACTTTCTTAAAGAGATAGTTCACAAAGTAAGAACAATTGTTAACTCCCTTATGTAGTTCTAAAACTGTAATGTAACTGTATTGCTGTGTCTTTCGTTTTCATTTGCTTATTCCATACTGTTCATAGTGAACAAAAAGTGAACAAAAACAACTTAGCTCAACATAGGGCTGGACGATATGGCCAAAATTGATATCACGATATATTTCTTAATTTCGGTCGGTACGATATAATTCCGATATCGATATGAACACTATTTATCTGAAATAGAAATCTTTTGTAACATTATAAATGCCTTTATCATCACTTTTGATCAATTTTAAGCAACTCGAGTGCTATTTTCAGACTCTATTTATATGATTTGTGAGGAAATTTGAGTTACTGATAATCTTCCCCTCCAGTGAACTGTTAACATGAAAATTGCTTCAAATCATTGAGTCAGTGAGCTGAACTCGAAAACCATATTAGTCTGATTCATAGACAACCTATTTAGTTCTGTTTGTGAACCAGATCAATCTGTTCATTGAAAATAACTAGCTCAATATAATGATCCATTCATGACATTGAACAGATTCAGATCTCAAGTTCAACTCACAGACTCGATGAGATCCAGTTGCAACGATTCACAAGGTAACGGCTCACTGAAGGGGAAAGTTATCTATTATATGACTTCAGAAGACCTAGGAATATGGAACACAAGTCATCTACTATTTGTTTATTTATTTGTGAATTGTAGTTCTATGCAAAAACCGCACTGTGGACTTTAAGAAATTGTTCTATGGAAAAATAACAGAAAATAGGTTTGAAATAACGTAAGGTAACATGATAAAATAATGATAATTTTTTTTACATTTTTGGGCCAAGTAGTCCTTCCAAACCCAAGTTTGCTTGTTGCTGTTCATAAATTTCTCCAGCTGTTTTCAGTTCTTTTTCATATTAATGTCTGTATTAACCTTTCCTTGGTATCTTCTTTAAGGCTCTTCGTCCCTCTCTGACATTTCTACGTTTTTGTCATTTTAATCAAACAGCTGCATCAGGCACCTAACAGGCAGTCGGTCCATCCGTTTCCTGTCCCATCCCCCGTCTTTGACCAGACCATCAGCATCCCAGCCAGCTTATCATGGGGAACTAATTCAATATCCCTGTGCCTGTTTTAAATGTCATTGGCTGAGCTCATCTGGAATGACATGTTTTTCATGGTGGAAGTAAAGGCGCTTTATTGAGCAGGGACCAGAGCGGGGGGGATGCGGCTGCCCTTCGCTCTTTCACGTTCGCTTTAAAAAGGTTTAAAAACCTTTCTAAATGATCTTGATCGTGATCTGTAATGTGAGACGGGCGCCGCCATGTTTGTTCGCGCTGCAGTTCAGAGAGTCCTTCCTGTCAGTCGGATTTACAGCACGTGAATTCATCAATTTCTCCCGAAATACATGCAAATAAGTGGCCGGTGAACTGGGAGAAGAATAGAGTGAACTTTATAGTTACTTACACTATGTGTATCTGATATTAATAAAACACGTCGGAAAATTATATGTGAATGGATTGTTATTGCTGCTTCCATAAACATCCGTGTGTATTTTACGAACTCTAAATGTATTGTTTTACTAGTACTTATATGTATTTAAATGTCTGAAACCTAAAATAAACATTATGTGGTTAAAAACACTGCATAGTTGTGATTATATGACAAGTGCAGCGGCGTCTCAGCGTCAGCCAAAGCGCGAAAACGCAGTTTGAATTTGGCAGTTATGTGACGTCACCGAACGTTCTTACTCCCATATGTGGGACCGTACTCCCAGGGGCACGGAAATAAAAATCCCATATGTGGGACTGTACTGCTCAACAGGTTAATGTTTCTGTGTAATATAGGTGTGTTAGTCAACGTTTTTCTCCAATGTCTAATTGACATTACAATTATGTTGGTGAATTAGCTTTCTCATTGTGAATCATTATGATACATGTAGTAAAAATCCATTCTCATGTGTTTTTCCCGTAGGGTTCCTGAAACCCCATTGCTCGATACCACCGCCACCTCAGAGAGGACGAGCAGAAGCATGCACGTGTTTCAGCGGAATGTGTGCTCTTCATCAACGCAGGCTTTCTACAGGTAACCTATACATATTCAGAACTACACAATCGCTTACGTTCTCCACAGCGCATAAACTTACAGCAATAACTCGTCTTTTGGCAGCTCTGTAGCTCCACTATAAAATAATCCTGCCTTTTTGTGTGCGTCAACTGTTCCCATGAAACCTTATGGTTCTTACTTTGAAGAACACTCAAGATACATGCATAAATCAATACATTGAAGTCATATTTAGAGCCCTAAACGGATTTCCACTGTGCTTGGCTATAACTCATGCCAAATATGTCTGGTCTTGTAGTATGTCTGCGTTTGCAAGAAACAAGACACGTCTTGCACCACATGCATACATATACAAATACACCCTCTAATCTGAATAAGTGTCTAGCCCCCTCATGTTTTGGTCCTGCAGTGTGTGATTTGCAGTTTGTTATGTTAGTTTAAAGGGCTGATGGACATGTTAGCAACCGGTCTTCTCTGAGGGATCCTTATGGGGCAGCATTACTGCAGATTCCAGCTGTGACCCTGTGGTATGTGGGGAATGGATTGCTGTTGGCTTGGATGTAAACATGTTTTGTTACATGACTTTTATTGCCTTGTCTTTGCAAACATTCAGCGCAACATGTATAGTATGTGACCAAATGACTCGTATGAACTGGTTCTTCTCATGACTCATGAATCGATTCAGTTCAGAATCCTGTAGGATGGTGGTTCTCCTCTGGTTTTGTGTCTAGATTTTACATTGTGCACCAAGTAATGACCAAACAGCACTAAAATTTTTCATCATACAAATGCAAATGTCCTCACAAAAAAAAAAACGCTGAAATTAATACATTTTATAGTTTTGGATGAGGACATGACATGCAACCTATATATATTTTGACTGAGTTCAGCTAATTGACAAATGAATTTGTGGCAAAATACTGTAGTTTGATTGGACAGATTACTTTTAACATCAAAAACAAATAATACGTAAAACGTTTACACATAACTTTTAAAAATTGATAAGCTAATTTGTTTTGCTATTCTACATATGCACAATCATATGGTTCCTTGCATTTAATTAATTGCATTTTGCATAGTTTTTTCCCCATCTGAACCTATATGCAACCTTTTTTCAACACCAGATGAGAACCACTGCTGTATATGTATAACAGTGACCCCACACGTGTGTGTCAAGTGCATTGTGGGAGACCTCATCCATATGCTATTAAAATGGAATACCATTTTGATTCATCTCTTTGATTTAGCTTTTTAAGAAGGATTGGTTTCGACAGTCACATCTTGGCGTATTTTATTAAATCCATTTTTGCAAAAGTCCCATAGGGTTAAATGTTTGCTCAGAAGCACAAGTTTAAGGCTCTTTTCTCCCTCATGTACCCATGTGATTGATTGAATGCATTTTTTTTAAATTGCAGTTTTATACTCTCTCGACCCTGAAAGGCACGGCAAGCATCTTTCAATAGCGACTACAGACAGTCCGCACACATCACTCACAACAAAGGGCTACTTATAGATCGTATACAGAGAGGATTCTTTGGATCAGTTGCTTGGAGCCATTCACACTGAAGTCATTCTATTTGTGAAAAATGTTAAATATTTCCGCAAGCTGGCGTGGTGGTCTTAAGACGCTCCAGAGAACTTTGGCAACAGAAATGATTTTGCCTATGAAAATGATTTCTGTCTACATATTGTCTTTTCCAAACCCCATAATAGAGATTGTGGAGAACCAGTCTTTAAAACCTGCATGGTGCTCAGCAGTCTGTTCGTGGTGAAACGGTTACTGTGGAAACCCTGCGGTCTGGTGTGGTGGCTAGCCTAACTGGAGTCGCTCTTTTATAGAAGTAGTAATAGCTGTGTTTCTAATTAGGGAACGTGTTTCCGTAAATCTCTTCAAAGCAAGAGGATGTGTTCCAATCTTAGCTTGTTGCTTGTACTGTGGTGACCAAAATGACACATTAGAGCAAGGAAGATGACATGGGTTCGTTGGCGAAGGAAGCAGGAAAACGAACGTCACCCGGGGAGATCTGAATCCCTGATGTGGCAGCACTTTGGCTTCCAGTGGTTTTACATTGTTTTAGGTTTTTTTTTTTGTTTTTTTTACAAAATGTACCCTTATTGGAAAGGGACCGTGAGAAACGCAGCATCCTATTTCAGTTCCAACTTAGTTTCAAAGGTGCTCGTTTTTTTATTATTATTTTTTAAAAAGGAAAGAGCTCGTATGAAGTGCGCAAGAGGGAGCACTTAAAAACCGGCTGCAGAGGGGCCTCACAATACCGTCCTTGTGCTGCGATCTGGGCTCTTCTTGCTGCAGCGAGCAGAGGAATGGAAAAGATTATCCGCAGGAATGTCTGGGGTGCCCTCAAACGCAGCGCTCCGCGCAACTGGCCAATGGGAGCGCTCGACCGAGTGGCGGGCTAATTTTTTCCTGATGAACTCAGCCGCCTGCTTCATAATGGAGTCTGATTGCCAGCGCTGAACTCACATATGGTCCATGTTTGGAGAGCCCCAATGACAGGACCACTTCTGTAGCGGGCAGAGGGAGATGATCGCTGGCTCAGTCTTTTGTTGTTTCATTAGGGTTGGGTAAGGACGAGGGTTTAGTCAGGTTTATTTCGGCCCACTTTCCCCTTCAGGTGTGTGGTTCTTTTTCTTTAATTATTCACTTTTTATTGACATCACTTAATTTAAGCTCCAGTTACGCCCCAAAGCCAAGCCTTATTACTTTTGGCCACACTTAATTATGTCAGTTGGTTCATGGTGCATCCCATGGCTTCATAAATTCTCCCAATTAATTTGGAGGCTATTTATTGTTCTGAGTTCTTGGAAACAACTTTTGCGGCCCCGTTACAGCAAGTGGCGGTAGAATTAACCCCATAAATTACAAAGACAGGCTCGTTTTACTTGTGGTGAGTGTGTTTTAGCTCAGTGGAACATCGCCATCAGCCTACAGAAAGACAAAAAGGGAATGTGGTCAGGTTTCCGAGACCAAAGCATGTGTTTGTAGACCTTGTAGTCGCACGGGAAGAGGAAGGGGCAATGTGGGGTCAAAAGGTGAGGGAGGCCAAGGAAAGGAGCTTGTTAGCCACGACATGTTTAGCACTCCCTTTTTTTTAATTGGCTCTGGTTGCCGTCCACACATGCCCTCGCCACTTCCTGTTGGCCTGGGGCCACCAGAGAGGGGCCTGGAAACTCCAACTTGTTGATTATTGAGTCGGGCCCTTTATTCGCTCTCAAATTCATCACTACCCAGTGCACTGGCTATTTTAATGGTCTTATTTATTTAAACTGTGCTTCAAAGGTAACCCAGTGGAGAAATAACAATTCGGCGGCCATTTTTTATTACTTTATGTCATGTGTACTCATGTTGGTTTATATTCTCACGGCGGGCCTGCAGTCTGTCATTATTTGGGTTGTGGCTGCCAAAAGGGTTTGGGCTAATTGGATTTCGAAGTTCATTTTTATCAGCTATTTGATAAAGACCTGGCGGCGGTCCTAAAAACTCCAGCCACCCGCGGTATCCGCACCAATGAGTACATTCCACACGTTGGGACTGTAATAAGGAGAAGTGAAAAGAAATTTGATCAGAGTGATCTCATCTGGGGAGACGTTTTACTTTATTCCCTCATCAGCCCCGTGTAAACACTGGAAGCAAAGTGGGAGTTGTGCGGCTCACTGTGATGGATTTTCCCCCATGACACCGTCAAGCATGTTTTGTGCTAATCTGCCAGCTAATTGAAAGCAGCTTGCTTTCATGTCCAGTGTTACAATGCCCATGCCTCTTGAAATGAAAATGATGGAGGATGCATCTGTGATATTGGCTTTAAATATATTTTTTTTTGGATCAGAGACGTCAGGAGCTGTGATCTATTAGCAGAGAGTGTAGTGTCTCTGTCAGAAGATAATGTAATGCAGGCCATTGAACAGGCATTTCTAGAGCTATTATCCTTGATGTGATGAAGTATCTTGAAATATTCTCCAGCTGAGAGAAGAACACTGATTAAAATTTGAATTTGAAGTAGAGATCAGTTTGACCTATGTATATTACAGATATTTCACTGGTTATTGTTCTTTAGTATGATGATGAGGATGATGATGATACTTCTTATTGTCACTCTATTCATAATAATAATTAGTAGTAGTAGTATATTAATAATATGCCAATGGATGTGTAATAGTTTATTAGTTGTATTAATAATAGTAATAATCATTATTGATACAATAATAACATTAGTATTAGTACTATCGATAGATATATATATATTTTTTAAGAATATGTTTTATGTTTAGTACTGTATTGTCATAGACGACCCCTTGTGTAAGATTTGGTACCATGGTGCATGCCTTTTTTTCCTCTATTTATTTATTTTTTGTGGCTAAATGAAGAGCAAATACTGATATAGACTAGCTGGTCAATTGGTCAATACAAACACATAGCCACACTTTTACCTCAGATGACTGCAGGACAACACACAATGTGGCCTAAAAAGCTTAGAGCTTAGACAATTTGGATTGGTCAGCTTTTTTTTTTTTTTTGGAGTGTGTCTGAAATAGATTTATACAGGGATCTGTGTGTGTGTGTTTGTGTGTGCATTTGATTCACCATCTCTGAAGGTGAGCCTTGCTGACATTCTTACAATGACATGCCAACTGATCAGAGAGACAGTAAGAGCATGGGGAGTGTGAAACAAAAGTGTAAGTGGCAAAAGTTTTCGAGAGAGAGGGCCAAAATTGAAGAAGGAACTCACATTGGCTCAGTGTGACAGCAGCCGCTCGTTGTGTCTGGGTCAGGAGAAAAATTGGAGCGACTAAGCCTTTGATAAATCTTTGAGCTCTTAATCTTTCTGTGCCACCATCACAGTGAAATCCTATCTCATTGTCACAGCTGACCGAGGGGGGTGGGTGGGTGACAACGCGCTGCATCTCACTGCCCTCTGGGATGCGCAGCCTTTCCCTGGCTCTCTCTGTCTGTTTCATCATTAAATGTTACTTTATAGTGATCACAGCTTGAGGTCACTTTTGAA